CTATCTTGCCTGCTCTTGCCTATCTGATTTTAATTATTCAATTATGTACTTCAAATTACCATCTTTTCAATGTCCTAATTTCACTCATACGCGAACACCTAAGGTAATAAGTAAGTAGCCAACTAAATTATAAGCTGCTTCATTAAGCTCGCAAGAATATGTATACTGAACAAGATTTCATCTGGTCGCCTTTCTTAGTCTAGTGTTTTTGTGATTTTTTCTTAAATGACGTTTCTAGTTCCGACGTTACACCAAAATAGCTTAGTCGGGGTGTCACAGAAGTGAGTCGGAAATGTTTTTTTTGCAAAGTAGCAGTATGCATATCTTCATTCGGTTTTCAGTAAGACGTATGAATCCTTTACACTCGCTTTTTCAAGCGAAATTAAAGGTACGCCAACTATTTTTGATTTATCACAATTGTATTCACTTTACTTGGCTTACGTTTATGAAGGACTGGCAGCTGAATTTTCTAAGAATATTATAAATTGGCCTCATGTTTACATTCAATTTCAAATAGCTTTGCCTTCCGAAAGGTATTCTAATCCATACTAAAATTCATTGGAACCATGAAGCCTATTCTTAAAATTGTGGCATAATTAAGCTACCTGTCCTTCATATCCTTAAACGAAATTGGATGAATAGAGCTCCTATGTAAGATCTATTGGGGGTCTTGAAGCCTGCTTATAAACAAAAGCTCTTTTTCTTATTTTTATTTTATTTATTCGACCTAGACAGTATATCGGTTAAGCATAGTTCGAATTTGTCATTTGTGTTATATCTAATTAGTGATTTTATAGTGTTTTTTGTACAGCATTATGAATGGGGGCTTTTCGTGGCTAAATCTGCTTTTAATTTAGTTGAAGTTGATATGTGTAATCCATTTGCTTATTTGAGTGCCCCTAATTAACATACATTCTGACGAAATCATTTGAAAAAGTAGTTAAACTTAATTGTTAGTACAATACTTTCTCTTTTCTGGGACAAGTTTATTGATGCAATACCTAGTTGCCAAACACTTCGGCCTTGAACTTGAGAGGAACTCGATTTTAATCTTTACATGCTGAAATAGAGTTCGGATGGCTTCCAAAGCCCTCTGCTTGGGCTTTATTTTTGAGTTGCCTCGTTGAATCAGCTCATTCACCTACATTTTACCTTTTGGTGTAAAATGAATGCTTTTTTAAATTTGTATTAGCTTGCGTTACCCATATCAAGACGAGGTTTCAAGCCAGCTCAATTTTATCGAATTCTCCTAAATTTTATCAAGGACAAAGTTTACTCTTCATATCTTGTACCTTTTTGTTTTGCCACTAGATTAATTTATTTTGTCAGCTATTTTATCTTTAATGGACCACATCCATATTTACGTAAGCATAGAGAACGTTACTTTTATCGACGAATATGCCAGTTATTGACTAATGAATATATGCTTTCGCATTTAATTCTGCAAATAGACAGTATATTTATGGAAATCAACAATAAATCTTCTCTATTTGCCCTAATTTATGTGCCATTATTGCCACTTTACTACGAATCTCACATTTTACTATTGGAAACTTAATGTCAGGCGAAGGGCCCTATTCTACTCACACTAAACCTACGGATCAGTGTTGGGATCCGATTGGGTTTAGGCCTGAACTGGTTACTGATGATCAAGTGTCCATATTATGCACTAAGCTGCCGTCATTTGGTCGCCTGAGGCCAGAGTTGGTCGGAATAGGGAGGATTAGAAATTGGCCCTGTCAGGCCTAGTTTTCTTATGTCTGAATTGTTTTTATATATTAGTGTCTAGACTTATAGTCGAGTTACTTTGTGAACACCCATTACTCGCTCACCCTGACATCCAAATAATGCTTCCTTTCTTTTATAAGACACTTAATTATCCATTCTCTCATCCTTACAATCAACAAATCATTCTGTACATAGCATGAATATGTTTATTTATGTATACTGTGATTTTACTTTCTTGACTCGTTATTGTCACACATTTAGCGCCCGGCCAATTGTGGACCCGGTGACACAGCTGCTAGCCGACTGATTCGCACAGCTCTTGGAGGTGGCGAGATGGACTCAAATCGGATAGCCACGTTGCTTTCAGTACCTGCCAACATTGCCCGATACTACCGGGATGACATCACCGTCATCGTCATCTACCCACCCTCAGCATTTGATCCTCCACTTTCTCCTCTCACATGAAAATTTAATCATCCGCCAGCCTCGAATTCCTTCACGTACTTAAAATTCGCGACCATGGCCATAACTATTTGACCTTTCGCTCTATCTCTTTTGTTTATAATTAACGATTCTATATTTTCTTGGTCTCATCCTCATTGGCCTCAACATACAAATGTAGATTGTGCTGCTCCCCATTTACTTAAAAGAGGGACGTTTAATGGCATGTATTGTGATCTGCTGAAAGTTTTGGCGTCAGATGGAATTACGAACTCATTAACTGAACCAGCCTTTGGATATCTGGGTAGATGTCTGTGTCTACCTTTTTGCCTTCCCTTCCATATTCGCCGTTTCTCCATGCCTTCTGGTCATAATGTCTATTTATCCTCCAAGTACGAGGTTTCAACTTGTGATTCGGTCTAATTCAGCCCTGTTAGCTACTATACTTTAACTTCGTTTCTCACATTTTTATTTCTGATTTGACATAGGGCTGAATTTATTTCACTTATTTTTGATTACATAATTCCTAATGTAGGCTCCTCTCAATCGGTTTGCGTTGTCACGTGGAGCTTTGTCCCAACTATTACGTATCTACTAGTTGGACACTAGGTGATTGATTGCTACATCGGACAGACTTACAGTTTACTATTGATATCTTACGTTTTGATGAATTTATGTCATCCGTATCAGACTAATCATTTCCCTTTTTGACCATATGGCTTTTTGTATTTTATACCTACCTCACTTCTTTTTTCTTCTTTCAATCTGTTTTCCCCTCCCATCTTCATAGATATCCCTATTTATCGTTTTATAACTCACATTGTTCGGTTACTGTACGCATGACCATATTCTTTATATTTATATACATTTCAAATGACCTTGTTTATAAAAATGTCCTTGGTACATCCCTTCGTTGATACATTTTTTTTCCCTTTCTCCTTATTACTTCAATCCCACTGAAATGATCGTTTCATTTTCTTTCTCTTGATCATACTTCCTCTGAATCGCATACCATATTGGAGGATTTTGCCAGTCATACCCTATTAAAAACCGTTCAATCAATGCTCCTTCATATTTTATCAATAGATACATAGTAAGCACACCAGCATGGCTTAGCATCACATCGATATATTTATTTTAATCTTGTTACCTCTGGGCACTCACTGGATCCATTTTTCTACAGTCATTTAGTTGGTGAATGACCGATTTTATTGAGGTTATTTTAACATTTTTATACTATATTTTATGCTGAATCCCA